CATTTCAGCTGTTGTTAAATTTTATTTGTGGATGCACCAATCTGCAGTGTCTCCGTTTTCATATGTTCACGCACGTAACGGTGGTAGGGCACATCTTTTTCAGACTGGTCACTACATAGAGGTGTGGCGGTTGGGGCCAGTTGGTATGACACGACGATAGTTATAGCACGAGAACAGAACGACAAAACTTCTCTCTTGTCGTCGTTCTGTTCTCGCACTATAACTATCGTCATGGTCACTACAGTCAGGCAACACGACTGAATGCTACATGCTTCAGCTCACCTCTAACTTTCTCACTTTATCCGATGAATATCCTTTGCTTTCTCAGTTGTTCGTCCGATCCTTTCAATGAGTGCTCTCAGGAGGTTAGATGTTGACATCAGCTCAAGGCTTTCCTGCCCTGTGAAATGAAATAAGGCAGGCAGCGATATGCAAATGACATGAATATATACATCGCTAGAGTCCTAAGCCCAAAATTGTTTTGATTCATTATTTGAGGAGTTCCACCACGCTTGCGCTACACAAACTTTATAACCAATGCATTCATATCCCACTTGCCACATTTAAACACCAGTACACTGTATATGTATATCTCATAGAGCTTAATACAATAATACCTAGAGAGGATTCTGGCACTACGATCGTGTACCCTCATGGGAATTATGGGAAGTACATGCTTCGGATTGGATCGCGTTAGCCAGCGAACTGTCTACTGATCTTTTCTAGTTTCAGTTTCATTCTTCGCCTAGCCTAGAGTGGGTAGTAGGGTGGGTGCAAAGAACTGAAGCTGCGCCTTTGTTGTTCAAAGAGGCTGAAAACTGCTACGCCTTTCAATTTACTGCAACGCTGGAACTGTATAAGTCGTGTTTGACAGTTTAAGCATCTTTCCACTCCCCGCTGTGCATAGATGTAGCGTCCCATGTCAGTGTAGGATATATTACATCGAGTTAACATATGTTGTCAATGCGTCTTGCCAAAATTCGTTGAAATTAACTGCAAAGCGACGGCGACGCGAAGTAGACGCATCACCACACTCTTCTGACTCGACTTCACAACAAAACGAGAGATGCGTTAGGGGCAGGCCACTTGAATAGACGCACCTGGCATCGCAGCAGATGAAATGTTTAGTGTTTCTCATTTAATACTGTGCTGTATTTTCATAAATAGATATTGCATGCTTTGAGGGCGAAACAAGGATTTTTGTTTTGAAATATTGTAAAGAATAATTCATTAAAGCTTGATGCCAAATCCGGAATGCAACGGCAGATCAATGCATACCCTGGTGGTTAAATTCGTCCAGGTTTCACATTTACCGCCTAGTCACAAAAACTTTTTGCATTAAAGTTTGCATGGAAAAAAATGAAGTAAGATTCAATTAGACATAACTTCATATCACTTTCTTTTACACTTAGCAAACAAGCGTCGCGAATCTCAAGAACCTGATCCATTTGAAGCAGATCGGAAGCCTGTACTTCTCGTAATTCCCATGGGGGTACAAGCGCCACTGAAGGAGACTGCGTAGACACTAGCACCCGATTCCCCTCTAGGTAATAATGAATGAAACACTATGGTATATCTGGTAACACTTCCCTGTAATACCACTGCTACGTTAGCAAGGGAAATTAAAAGCTATTAATCATTTAGAAGTACTTCAGTTTTAGAGACATGTAAATGAATAGTAAAAACTGTGAATGGTATCCTTGCTTACTGGAATGAACAGCTCCATTTTTTCTTCACGGTGAGACTGAATGAAGGAAATTAAATGCATTCTAAAGATCCACAAATGGGAAGAGGAAGATAAAGGTGTAACACATATTTTGCTTTCAATAAATACTGATCGTTTAACCCAGTATGTATGATCTGTCCGACTCATGGCCAATCCCCAGAGTGGGTAGGTGCCAATGTTCCAAGGAGCATCACCACCATCCACATATTTGTGACACTTCACTACTCAAAAGTAAGTTGACCATATATTTAAAAATTTATTTCAATACACCTCCACTGATGTGAAAAGATAGAGATTGGTCATTCTAGATTCTTGCGAGTATGGCCTTAGGGATCTGCATTGGTTATTCAAAGATAGCACGTACGACACATTTAAAGCACTTGGCAAAAGTAAGGCCTTCCAAATGTGTCCTGAGCTAACAGGTAAGCTTATGAACATTAAAAGTGCTTCATTGCTTCCCACAATCGAACTGCGTTGTCTCACATATATGGTGTTTGTGAGTCATCATGCAAATGTGGGTGTGCTTAGCTACATAACGCATTCAGCTGTCAGGGACAACACTCCACATGCAGTGACCCCATATATGTGCATGATGCCATTCTTATTTTCACGGCTTCAGCTGTAAAAATCTTTGCTGAGTGTACTGGCATATGCAGCTACCACTGCCTTGTCAGTACTTTATTTCGAAGCATCCACAGTGATCTCAAAACATTGTTTTTGTATGTTATGCCATTCTTCATTTTACATTTTTGAGATGAGTCAATTAACAAATATGCTATGATGAGTACAGCTAGCTTCTCTCGAAAATGAGCGTGACAAGTGTTACTGCATCAACTAAGTATTTTTGCTCATTATGATCGCGATTATAGGTTAGGTTTCTTTGGTCGTGGATACAGTGGATAGCTAATTATGGATAACCCACTGGGAGGTATGTGCCACAGATTGACACTCTACAATAGAACGACGAGAACACACGTGGATAATCTTAATGCAGAGGCGTTAAAAAATCTGACATCAGCAGCGTTGTCTTGACGAATGCAAATAATAAATGTCAGGGCGCCAGCAGGAATAGAACCAAAGCACTTTGCATGGCAATCAAGCATTTTACCACAGATCCATGCCAGGACTAAGAACTAATTTTCAAATAGACCCAAATGTTTGTGAAACAATTGTGGTTGCAGTGCTGGCCATTCAATTTTATAAACATTACACATGTTCTCCTATGATACAGCTGTCTCGTCGGGTATTGTTAATTGTAGTTAGGGGCGATGCGCTTAAGTGCATTTATGTAGCAGTGTCCAGAACTACCATTACCGCGAGCAACAGTGCTTCATATCAGCTTATCGCTTCATGTGTTGCTAATACTCATATTCCTGAAGGCATCATTGCACAAGTGCAAACTGGTTATATAACATCTACAACTGTTCAATATATGTCTGTGCATGCAACATTTGGACATATATCTAGCGTCAGTTCATAACGCACCGCTCAATAAACAAATTACTACATGGTCCACTTCCTTCCTTAAGTGGGATCAGCCAAATTTTCATGTTGATAAAACCAGCTTTATGAAGTTTATAGCATAGGCTTCTTTAAAGAACAAAATTACGTTAGCCATACCGAGAACAGGCTTTCTAAATCAGATCAGCAGTTTTATTATATGTGTACTTATTTTTGAAGCAGGATGCGGATCAAGCAATTTATGCAAATGCCAACTTAGTGCAATATCAGTGAATGCTTGCGAGAAAGCATTCCAAGATGTGGTTTGGGCGATTGGCACTCACCTTGGCAGTGCCCCAAACCATTCCTATAATGTTGTGCGTGTACTGATAAACTTTCCACAATGCATTCATATCAACTCACCATCTCGTAAATTTTTGAAGGCACATGCGTAGCAAACTGTTCACCATTGTGAGGGTGATTCTGATTAATGTTGACTCGTTGAATATTGCAACAAAGACAAAGTCGGAAGAAGGGAGTTACAAGCGACAGGCACCAGTAACCTCCTGAAAACAAGGTGGTGCTGCTATTATGTTATTCACCAGTTGTAAAGTGATCCCTTCCTTTTTTTTTCAACATTTAACATGTGTACCTTCGCTTTTGATAGTCTGCTGAGGAATCTGTGGAACAAACTGGCACTGCAATAGTATTTATGAGACGTGTGGACCTTAATAAATCTTAGTTTAAAGTCAGCGCTAGTATTTCTCCAGACCTTTATTTGCGTTTTTTTTTGTCACTCTTTTTGTTTTGTACTCTGCGAGTCCCATGCAGCTGTGCCGACTCGTCAATTTTGTCTGTGTTTCTGATATTGCAATCATGCTCTTTCAAACAAAGGGCATATAATAACACAAGCATCACCGCATCCAAATACGCTGTGCCGTGCACCTGCCACTGCTATAAGCATAGCTATTGAATAATTGTCCCACTGAGCCATTCAACAATGTCCCTGTTTATGTATGCGACATTGATTCGTTTGCAATAATAGTTTTTTTCTTACGCTGGCAACACAGACTGCCCAAATTGATTGTATCTAAAGCGATACTCGGAGAAACAGTTGCTCAGCAAGTCATCACACCAAATAAATCGAGGCTACAGCAGCGGTAGCTTACGAGCGCTTTCCCACGCAGCATTACGTGAGCAGTGAGCTGTGCGGCACGTCTGAAAGGATACGAATCTGCAAGCTGAAAGGAATACGCAGAAAACTAATGTAAGATCGCTATACGTGCATGTCAGCAACAGTCCATTTAATAAACCAGTAGAGCTCACCCTTTGAATTAGCTGCTCGTTGTGAAGCAGGTATCTGCAATGAGAAGAAGATTATAAGCCGCGAGCAACGCTCCTCCACTATTGGCAAGGTGTTTTCTTACAGTCGCAAGCGGTTTAAAGTTAGCGGCACGCTACAACGCGAACAATTGTCAGTCTACCGTAAAAGCACGCGTAAAACCATTGCTGACGCGTGGTTAGGCAGGTGAATATTATACTGACATGAGTTTACGTCCGCTTTCTGCTAGCGATGCGCGCGGCCATCTTCACAACGCTCCCAAACCCTTCTGTCGAGGTAGGAGAGAGAGAGCACGCGCGCGCGGACAGCGCCGACCACAAACGGCACGAACCCTCCAACCCGAGGTAACTCACCATTGCCGACAATCATCGTTGTCTGTTCGCGATCAACATTGGCTTAACGTAGCTCGGTTTAAATTGTTACAATCGCTAACTTCGCGACCCGGCATTTGAAGAGCAGCTCGTCAGCTGGCACGCTTGTCTGCCTCGCAGCTATGCTCCACAAGAGTATGTCTTTAGTTTAGACAATCCGGTGAGTACACATCACGACCTCTAGTACTCATTAATCTTTCACCGCTTCCCTGCTGAACTTTATCGGCGAGTTTGCATGGACACGCGTTTCTCTGTCGCCTGCTGCACGAGCGAAAAAAAAAATTGATTGCCGCGTTGAAGTAACGAGTTTTCTGGTAACGTGCTGCCTCAGCACTCCGCCCATAAATGCGCGTGCTACGCGTCACCACGTTTGCCCATCAGCTGTGCGGTTCTGCAGTCGCTCACAAACGGATAGCGGCAAGCAGCCTATATATTTATGTTCTCTGCAGTAAAGATGTCCGAGGCCGGTGCCACGTTGATCGAAGGAATCGGCGACGAGGTGTTGCTGTGCATCCGTCTCGTTGACATTGTCGGTCTCCTTGTGGCATCTACATCCAGTCGGTTTTCGGGCACGCAGTGAAGCACAGAATCAGGTAAGTTGTAGTGCTTCATACCAAGCGTCACGTTCGTCACACTTCAAAACCGTACACGTGGAGGCAAGACATGATGGGTGTCTATCGTACATGTACTAATCGTGATGTTCATACGCCACATGAATGTTACCAGTTTTCTTTTTTAAAAACACGCACGGTTGTTGTGTTCGTACACTTAGGTTGAAACGGATGGCTCCGCATTTAGTCAACATAAAGCCGTACCTTGATTGTCCACTGGCGCTATTGTTCTGTCCGCAGTATACGCGGCGGGACGTCAACTCAGCGCAGAATGGCAATGCCCGTGTCACGGCCGCGCGCCGTTTGGGGCTCGTGCATCGCCTAGGCAGACTGCTGAGCTCGCTCCTGGAGACAGTAGCGAAGCGGTGGAGTCTGCGACGAGCGATCTTCTTCAGCCAGTCGAGCCGGGTGACGACTCCCGACCGCTGCTGCCGCAGGAGTGCGAGGAAAGCGGCACCGAGGAAGGAAGCTGAGCCCCGACGTCGTTCGTCAGAGGCGGCTCGAGTTCATCGAGAGGAGTTCTCGCGTCGAGAGCATCAGCGGCGTCGAACCGGTGGAGCCGGACTCCGGGAAGAGTCGGCCCACTCCACCGACGAAGCAGCGCCGCAGCTCGAGAAGAGGAGGGCGTCGCCATCCGCCTCAAATACTTGAAGACACCGAGCGCTGCGTTAGGGCATGCCAGACGAGACTGTTGGGATCGTTCAAGAGGTGGGTAGCCTGTGTACCCATTTCTCTTTGCTAGGGGTCACGAAAAGTCATGAACAGTGTGTCAGGTGGAGGGCCCGTATTGTTTTGTCCTTACCGCTGGTTGTCTTGAATGGGCCTATCTTTTGTCCATGTCCTTTATATACGCTACTATATGTTATCATGCTTTCATTCCAACAAGCCCAAATCACTACCCTCCTCGAGCACCCCATTTTGGGCTATGGTTTCAGAAAGGGTCTTTAGTAAAGTCTATCATTCCGTCTTTTCATCGAGATGGGTTGTGGCCCATAATTTCCTTGTCGGGATGCTGACTGCTCTGCAGCTTGTCTAAAACAGCTACTGTGGTCATTATCTCACCTGTGACATTGTTTTTGTATTAACAAAGCCGATACTTTCCTGTAGTGCTAATCACTTTGTGGCATTCGATACTTAAAGGGACCCACAACTGGCCTGAACAGGTGATTAGATTACGGAGGAAAAGAATAGCATGAATTAGAGTGACAGGTGACAGCATACTTTTCGCGATGTGAGTAGGATTTGTATTTTTAAATTGCGTTCAAAGGTAAACAAAACTGGCATGTCTTGCCCTAGCACCAGAGCCATGAACACAATTAGGAAGTCTAATAACTTTGCTGATTATTTAAAGCACACCGTAATAAGGGCTTAAATTTCGAATATGTATGTTATTGCTCGTTTTCGTTTGTCCGATGGTGGCTTTCAAGGTAAAAGAATTACAGCATGAAAAGAGGCACTACTTTCGTGGCCTTGCAGGAAAACGAGTGCAGTTGCGCATGCAGGCGGCCCGCCGCATTTCCAGAGTAGCTCAATTCTCGTCACGTCGGGCGCTTTGGACGAAGCACGCGAGCTTTTGAATGCATCGCTGCGGTTGCGCGAAATGCCGCCGACCTATGCTCTGTAGAGAATTGCTTCATGCGGGCTGCTAGTAGAGGTGATGGTGGCGGCCCGCCTGATCATCGCCGCTGTCGTCCGTCCAAGATGTCGCTCTGGCGCATACTTGATAGGGGTCCAAATTTTGCGGTCGCAGGCAAGCCAAAATTCGTTCTCCAACTTGCTTAAGTTGTCAAGAGAGACATATTGAAGCCGTTCAACTACGGCCATGCGTGAACTACTATGCGGGAATTGTTGATCCTTTTTAAAGGCGTGCGTTCGTTTTTAGAAGACTTGGCTAAATTCGAAATAAGGACCTGTGCAGGACCGAAAGTATTGCGTAAGAAGCCCCCGGAAAATCCTGTAGCTCTTGTAAGATAATTTAGCACACTAGAAAACAGTGGTGGCAAGAGAGCAGGCTTGACAAACAAACAGTACGTGTTTGTATTAGGTCTAACATTTCATCACTGCTGGCCTTACACTGGCGTATAAGCGCTATCTCATCCACTGTTTGCAGCATGTCTCCTTGAGACATGCTGCAAACAGTGGATGAAAATTTTGATTATAAATGTTCTGCGTGTCTTCCGCGTTACCATTCCATGATTACAAGCTCTACGCGATAAGCCTTCTGTTGCACTAAAGAAAACGGGTATCGTAATTATTGGTTGTGGGTCTCTTTAAGCATTCCCTATGCACTACAATTTTTAACAACTGGCAATAGGGCTGCTAAGCCTGTCAAAGCTTGTTCTTTACACCATTTAGGAACAATCATCTCTGAATTGTCTCATCTGTTGAGAGGCTCATTTCAAAGCAAAGACAAATGCAAAAAAAGAGAGACATATTAAGGTGACTGCTTGTCTTTCACCTTCTCTTTCCTTTTCGCTGCTCATTTGTCCAGCAAGATTGAGTTGCTAATTTTACTTACAGGCTTACTCAGTCTTTAGTGGGCCATGACACCAATGTTTCTAGGTTACCTGTATGTATTGCACACAAGGTGGCAAAATTTAAGCACATTTGGTGCAGTAAGACATTTAAATTGAATCCTTCAATTTTGCAGTCAAGCAACACAGCATTGTGGCAGCCTTAACTTGTGACCAAACGAGACATTCGAAAATTGAATTTTTGAAGTAAATTGAAGTAATTGAAAAATGTGGAAAAGTTTGGACAACCTCGAAGACATCATGGTCGCTATGCATTATTCCTAGGTGTTCATATGCGTTTGATTTGTTGCTCAAGTTGTGTACCGCACAAGTAAAAGATTTATGGTCACAATGCAGGGTGATGTGCTTACTGCGTTGTGTACCAGGACACGCAGAGAAACACATCCAGCACAGTTTCAAAGCAGTGAAATCAGTATTGTCATATGCTTTGGCGTGCAATTTTGTGATGTCACGCAGTGGCATGCCAGATTGGTTACACAGCCAATGCATATGACTTAGAAACATCACCTTTAGATTGTAAGTTCACAAGAAATCTGCAGCACAATTCTTGATGAGTTCACCTTGTAGACTGCCCACTTCGGCCTCCCCTGATTGGCTGGAGCTTGGCGAGCAGCATGCCGTCTATTTCCTGTTCTCCTCCTGCAACGCCATTTTAAAGGGGTATTGACACCTTTTTCGGAGGCGAGTTTACTCTGCCATACAAATCTCCTGGATACAGTGAGCAAGTGTAACTCTCAGCAAATGCTAAGATATATTATTGTAATATTGAAGTCAATTTTCTTGGGGTGCACCTACCAACATCGACACTAACTTGATGTCAGGCTACTGTACTAATCCTGGTGACTTCACACAGAAGTCTGACAAGTTGTGATGACATCAGCACCAAAACACAATAAAATAGTGCCTTGCGCGTCGCCCTGTTGATCATCTGCTGTGCAGTGGTGCGGTCACTGTCATCCAGCATACCTGGGAAGCGAGCTAGCTGAGTTTGGAATAGTGTATGTGCACAAGAATACAAGATATACAAGGGCACAGGATCGTTTCATATCGAATTTGTCGTCATGGCATCAATATTTTGCCCTGCAAGGTCTTGCGCCAGTGAAACGGGAAACAATAGGTGCAAGTTCCACCGGTTCTCGTTCGATCCGGCACTGAGACAAACCTTGGTCGACATCGTGCGCCGCGGCTGGACAGAGACTGGATGTCAACCAAGTGGAGTTTACTCTCTTCGCTGCCCTGCACTCCGAACGTGTACACGTGCAAAGTGCAGTTTGATTGACTTCTTGTCAACAAAGAACCTGCACCTCAAATTGATGCCATTCTAATGTTGCGCCCCGCTGCCACGACAATTGCCACACATCCAGTGCACAGCAGACGATAGAAAAAGCACTCACAGACGGAAATACGTCCCGAAAACTTGCCCGTGCACAACTACATACTGCCCGGTGGTGCTGCTGATACCATGTTGTGACATCGGGTATGTGGGAACCAAAACGAGCTTTCCAAAAGCATGCTGTAATTCATTTTAAAGGCACACTCATGCTTGCCGATACATTTCCTATGCTTTTGGGAGCTTGGTTAATCATTTGACATAAAAAACTAAAGGGGAAAAAATTTCGTGTCAATACCCCTTATGTCGCAAAGCTCGTGCAAATCTCTGCATGAACCAAAGGAATGAATGCATTTCACTGCAATGAATGCTGTCCCCAGAGATCCACCTTTGGACACACGTCTCGCAGGCTGTGCATCAACTCACTCACGTTAGCCCTTAAATTATGTTTCATGCAACCGCCCGCCTAATATCATGGAAGTACACATTCCCTGCATCATTGTCAGACACCTAAACTTGCTTGTACACAAGTTAAGACTCATCAAGTTTTTTTTTTAGTGTCCCAGTACTGTGTATTTCTTCCACTTTTTCTTTATGTGAGAATGTGCTGGCGGTACATAAACGTTGTCTAGAGTGCTATGACATTACGGCTCACTGCTCTTTCGAGTACTGAATCTCTCCATTAAAGTGGACATGTTCACAAAGTGGGTACATCAAAGAATAGCTCTCCTGCTCGCTTCTCTTCTCTCAACAATTATGCCATGTATTGAAAAATCACATGTAGCACGCCATTGCTGATTTAAACGTGGTGCGCTCGCTCGTTACAGAGATCGTTGCAGGACTTTTCCGTGCGTGCTACACGTCACATTGAAAAAGCTGCGCATTCGAAAAAAAAAAAGGGAAAAAATGCTCAAGATCACGAGGCCTGCGCGACGTTTTTCTGTGGCCCTGCCATTTCTCCCTGCTTAGCTTCCAGCGCTTTCGTCTGGATGAGAGAATGTAATTGCAGCATGTGACAAACCTTTCTAACTTCACTCCCACTGGACGGATTCTAAAAATTTTTGTGGTGTTGAATTCGTGAGGCATTAAACTCTCCCAGCGAATTTATTCCATGGTTATTTGAAAAAGTGTTTCAGGGCCCCGTAGATTCTGATTGGATGTAAGTGCTGTCCTCTAGCTTCACCATCGTCGGTGAAGCCTGTTTGGGTTAGAAGTAATGCTTCATGATTAGCTTACGGCGATCTACAACACTCTTAGTGTGCTCAGAATAGTGTTGTAAAAATCTGCTCCAGACTGATGGTCTGCAATAGACTTTGTAAAAGGAAATGATGCCATGGAAACCTTCAGAGAGTATCAAAAGCATCGTCTCTGCACTACATGAAAGTTGTGCTGAGCTCCTCAGAAAGTGCAAGTGATGAAGAAGTGTATGGTGTTGCATAATTCGTGATCAAACCAAGGGGTAGAAACTGGTGTTGAGCACTTTCAAAAGTGAAAATGATGGTAAGCTACTCTGGAAAATGATGGTAAGCTACTCTGGAAGCACATAAGTTTGTGGATTATCATAACTTTAGCGCATGTTCAAGTTCTGTTTGAGAGAACTCCAGAAAAATTCATAATAGCTTACTAAAGATGTAAAGAACGCTATTGGTTAGCAAGAAAACCACAAACCAATCAACGTTTCCAACTTCTTCTTTTTGCAGTGCTGGCCTGCACGCGTTTGTTACTAATTCACCTTTTTTCAACAAAAGATGATGAATATTAACATCCATAGTGTGCTGTTATTAAGTGATCCTTGCCCAGCTGTTTCTTCCCAGTTTTCTTTCGAGTTCTGTTACAGAGTGAACTTATTGTAGTTGTGGATCGTTATGGGACAGTTCAATTACCCCTGTGGACAAGTAATTTGAGGTTGCTTAACACATCGTTTTACAGAAATTCACGTTGGTGGTTTTGGTCTTTGCAGGCGCCATTTCGCTGCCGAGTTGGCAGGGCAACGGCTGGTGCGTCTGATCTACAACGGAGGTCAGCTCCGCGATGACAATGCACGTCTTTCGTCCTGTGGCCTTAGCGATGGCTGTGTTGTGCACGTCCATATCTCGACAACACCTGTTGTGCAGAACGAGACTTCATCGGCCAATTCCAATGGCGAGGGCGACCTCAACCTGGGTGCCCTCATGTGGCCATGTTTGCGGCAACACTGGGCATCCTGTGGGTGCTGCACTTTCAGTACCGCGAGCTTTTCAACACTTCATCAACCGTTGTGCTTGTTGGCATTTCCGGATTGTTCTGTGTAGGTCTGTATGGACAGCACTACCCCCAGTCACCAGCACTGCTGATCAAGGAGGAGAGACTCAGACCACTCCAGTGTCGGGACGGTAGACCTTGGTGTTATAAGCTATCCTTCTAGAATCTCCATATTAGGGCACTGGTGATTCTGATGTGGGACTGTGATTGAACAGTGCGGTCTACGAGAACTCTTATTGTGGAAAAGCACTTGGTTAATCATGTGAAGAGGATCCTGTATGCATCGTGGACATCTTCAAGTGCTTTTTTAAAACGACCTCACAAAAAGGGAATTGCTGAAGGTCTTCGTGTGCGTGTGTGTGAAGCATCAAAGTTCGGTGCATTTGATAGCGCTGTGAAAAAAGAAAAGTCAAATAGCTACAGCGCTGTTTGTGTGAAGTAGTTTGCATGACGGAGTGAACTGGGCCGGCAGGGCATGCGTTGAAGCTTCAGCTGTGTTACAGCAGAGTGTTATGCGTGGACTAATATAAATGCAAATAGACCACGGGCATTGATAAGAATGTGCGCTTCTGCTGCCTAATCTTTGGTTTTTCATTGCCTTAAAACACACCTGAAAAGTGTTTTATTTCTTTTGTTCGAGTTTTGCCAAGCTGGTTGTCTTAAAACACCGGGCTGGCACCGTTGAGCTTGTATATAAATGCATTTAGTATTTACTTAAACGTTTTTGTGCTTTCCTGGAGGCTGTATACGAGTTCTGCAACAGCCCAACAGTTTTATGTCATCACTAGGAAGCAACTCTAAGCTATGCCCATCACACACTGCAAGTCTCACTGTACAGAACTGAAGGTGAAGTTATGTTTGAACACTTGCATATTATTTGTGTGACTAGCTTTATTTTGGTAAAAGTGTAAGCGAGAGACTTCTTCCCTTGTTGCGATAACATTAAATGCTCATTTTGTTTCGAACAAGTTGATATAATTGAAGCCAACCATTTACTGCATGACATTACGAACATAAAATTTCAGAACAGTCCATTACATTATAGAATATATCTAATATTTTTAATATTCAACACAATTTTTCAGTTGCGATTTCGAGTGTCACAACGGCTGCCTAATTGCCTGTTAGGTGACTAGTTCATGTCGTGTAGAAATTATGGCAATATTCTGTAACTAACAATACTACCAAAATGAGTAATTGTAATTAGTTGTATAAGTCGGCGAAAAGTGTTCAACTCACTCAGAATTATATTTTGCCTAGGGACTCACTCCGGTTCCGGCTCGCTGAAGTTTTTCTCACTGGGACTCACTTGAACTCCCGGCTTTATTCAAATGTGAGCGAGTTGGCTGAGTATGTTATATAATTGTCGTTTTTGATCATAGTAATAATGCTGTTCAACTACAATATATCTCATAACTGAACCTTTAAGTGACACCTTTTGACCTCATAACTTCTAATACCAGATGTAAGCGGTTGAGGTTAAGTAAGCACATTTATTTAATGGTATGACTCATAAATGGTCAACGTATCTTTATCAGGAACTTGGAAAAAAGTTTCTGAGAGGGTCGGAGGGAGGTGAGTCTCGCTATCGCCCCTCCACCCCCTTCGTAACACATTTTCTATCAATACAAATTAGACTGTTGTATAAACTCTCGCGCGTTCAAACTTCAAGTGAGTGTTTCTGCATGAGTATACAGTCGACTCTCAATAATTCAAGCTTGAAAGGACCTCTGAATTTTGTTTGAATTATCAAAAAGTTTGAATTTTCCTAAGTTCTCAGGTGGATCACTCTGGATGAGGTGATGCCACACATTATGATTAGGCATTGATTTTATCACATTTAAAACTATTAAGCCTTTTAAAACGCTTACTGCATGCAATGAACAACAAGCAGAGGTGTAAGGTCCCCAAGTTTATTGGACATTTACTGCTAATCCGACCTTTTAAAAAATTGTGAATTGCCAAGTGCTTCTTCGCTATAGAGAAAGAGAAAACACTTTATTCACGGGATCCTGCGTGGGGTAGGTGTGGCCTTGCAGGGCGCGGTCTACCCTTCTAATGTTCTAGTTTATGCAGTCCTAGAAACACTGGGCCAAGAACTCGAGGGTTGAACCTGACCCGACAGAGGATACTTGGGCTCCCGAGCCCCGCGCTTGCAGGTCACGAGTTGATATGTGCGTTCAGCATGAAGCTCTCCATACCATTTGAGAAGCATCACGGTTTCCCATGCGAGTGCTTTGTTTCGCACATTTGTTTACTAGCAAAGCCTTTTTTTTGAAGGCCCGAGGTGCTTATTCTTCTTTTACTATTATTTTTAGACTGTTAGGATTATATAAGCATGTAACTTTTTAAATAGTAGCGGAAAAGCAGCAGATATTTCTGGTATGGAACTGCAAAAAGTATGAATTAACTGAATAATAGAGTTTGAATTAAGAAGATTTTAAATACATTCAAAAAATTGGGGGCCAACCAAAAAGTTGAATTTTATTTGAAATAAATGAAAGTATGAATTATCAGAGTTTGAATTATCGCAAATCTACTGTAAACGTGAGCCGACATAACGCTTATGATAATGCTGAAAGTTATTGAAAACTTAGGCCAGCAAGAAGTGTTGAGCTTAGCCAGACTCGCTCAAGAAATATATTCTGCGCTTTGGGCTCTAGTGGACTTGCTCAAACTCACTCAGACTCGTGGCTTGATACGAGTCTGAGCAAGCCTGAATTAGTTGACCCATGAGTGAGTTTGACGACCTATGATGAGTCGTAACAGGGCCAGATGCGACGCTATCGGCCTTTGACATGCAAACTCAAAGTGCAGTCTAACCGCTGCACCTGATGACTAAAGTTACCTGTATATGGAAAGGGAACGGCTTTGTTGAACCAGTGTAGAGACAAGTGTAACCATCATACACTGCATGATATGCAGTTGATGAGGGTTAGAGGGACACTAAACGAACCAATAAGTCGACATTTATTGTTGAAATGGCGGTCCAGAAATCTTGTAGTGTACTTTTTGTCAAGGAAGGGCTTACTCTGAAATTAAATTGCGTTTTAGAGGTCCGCATCGGGCTAGCGCACTTCGAACTACCCACCTCAATGGAACGACGGATGTCACTGTCGCCGTGCACTTAATGTGCGGCCGCCGACACTCTAGTAGCAGCTGAGAGAAAGTAGCGGGAACCACAGCAGCAACAAGGACCATTGAACAAGTTTTAGTCATGGCCTTCAAGATTGCAGGCGTGCTTGGTTCAACTAGACCCAACTATATGGCACGGCCTGTCCAGTTTAACCAAGTGAAAATTGAACTTTTGAACCACTCGCACCATTCCCCATAGGTCTTGGGGTATTTATTCCATGAAACAAACAGAAATGAACAAGCAGTGTTTCATTACGTCTCTTCATGCACAGATGTTCTTTATTTAGTGCAGTTAGATCCGTTACTAGTGAATTATTGTAGGCAGATGTTCTCACCTCATTGGGATCATTTTGAGAATATCCTACTGCGGTGCATGTTTTCTTGTGCATTTACCTTATTTTCTCAATAAGTAGGTCACTGCTGTTGATAATGTTCTTGTTTTAGACATTGTCATGCATTGAGCTTTCACTCTGACGTAAATTGTTATTCGACATTAGTGTGTGACTTAAGTGTCCCCTTAAGGATGGTTGCTTGCTTGGATAGTTTGTTTCAACACATTTAACAGGGTGTAAAACTGTAGAGAAGACAGCATAGAGTGTAAAGAGAGCTTTTACACTCTGTGTTGTCCTTTCCAGTTTTATGCACTGTTACACGTTTTATATGAACGTTCTTTAATGGTGAGTTGACCCGGAGTCACAGGGAGTCGTCATTGGAAGAGTGTTCTAATGTTGAGCCAGCCTGTGGATCAGTAAAACAGTAGTTTGAGGTTGGGAAAAATGCTAACTACTGCAATTTGTATGGGAGCAAAGTGAAGTTCCAACGGGAGGAGGAAAGATATTGAAAGCTAGAGGGACAAGGATAAGTCACATTCCTGAGAATATTACCTGCATTCATATAATTAATTATTACATATCTGCAGTGCCACAGTGTGCATAACAGCAGGGGGTTAGAGTAAAAAAAACAATGTAATCACACTCTCAAAGTGTGGTGAAACACATTGTTGTCCTATATGTTCACAACGTGTGGACTTTCAGTGTATGGTGGTGTCTCGAGGGCACAGAAGTGAGTAAATTAATATACCTATCTCAATCAATGCCAGTTTTAGAATGGCAGTAAAAAAAATTCAGTCTAAGCTGAAAAACGTGGACAGAGAAAGATGGGCACAGAGGCGCTAACTTGTAACAATGTTTATTCCGGAAATAGGTAATCAAATTCATAGGCCACATCGCTTTATAATCATCATGACTGCAACCTCTGTTGCAAATTCAATAGAGCCTCTCACAAAATTACCTAAAGGTAAATGTGGTGCTAATTAGCTGGTGGATGCAAGGGAATGCCGGGTTATGTGAGCTTCGAACTTGACTCAGATTTGTATACCTCGAAGACGGGTCTGGCTTCACGTTTAAGTGGTTGATTTCTCACTGAAAGAGCATGTAATAAGTTATTTATTTTTTGTCATTGCACAGAAATGTATTATATTTTACACTGGAACCTTCTACATCAATGTAGAATTTTGAAAAACGTAAGAAGTAACCAACGGTCTCTAAACTTGGCAGGAAGATGACAAAGCGGGTGTTCCCTCTGCCAGTTTATGTCGTCTGCTGCTTTCTATCGCCATTTCGTTGTCTGCCAAGGTGAGTGGACTTTCATTTTAGAATATAATACGTGTGAACGAAATTTGCTTCTGAGCGTTTTGTTTTATAGAAGCTTTATTGACGCAGTCGTATTCACTTTCGAACCGAAGCCTCGCTCAACACCAGCCTACACAAGCCTCGCAGGCACATATGCCGTCATTCCCTGCGCTGCAACGGGTGCGCGTTACTTTTGCATTAATAACTGCAATGCCTGCAGTGGGCATCCAGCAACCAACCCCCCTCCACCCCCTATAAACATTCATTTATGCACCGTCCATTTTCCTTCCTCCATGCACCGCCAGCTCAGACTCGCATAATTCTTGCTATATGTCGGTAGACCCTTGCCCACAACTGCGTCATTA